TGACTGTGGCTCTATAAAGTTACGATTGCGAAGAGCAAAAATTTTTTCTATTAGTAGAGAAAATAATAAAATAAAATAAATTCATCAGATTCATTAAATCAAATTTACTACTATCCGTTACGAAATAGAATAATAAAATAGAGAATACATAGAGTAGCGTTTGAGGAACATTTTGTTGTGTTTGAATGTTATTTTCGCGTGGGGCTAACGAAGGCGACCCGACTATACTGGAGTACTGGACTGGCGCGATGGAGAACATGTCGCTCTACTTATTGAATTCGGTGCGGAAATAGAAATATTTTGAAGAAATATTTTAAGAAATATTTTTATCAATAGATAGCTGAAGACGTGCTGGTTCTGAACATCTGCTTTGAAATCACATACCATAATTGAGTAAGCAAAGAATCTTTATTTCATATGTAGTAACGATATCCGTAATCGGCTTTGTGTACCGTGATTTCTCGTCGTAGGAACCATTTTTAAAACAAACATTTATATACCATTCGATAGCCCTTTGAAAGGGCTACATTTTCCACTATTTGTATTTGAATTAGGAGCAACTTTGGTTTTTCACCTAATTTCCGCCTGGATGCCAACTGTGTCAAATGCTGAAGTAATAGGCGTCTAACATAAGAAAGTTTTCAATTTTTACAGTATGAAGAACAGGGCAGATTTTGTTAAATCTCAGTACTTAAAAGTTTTGAGCGATGCTCTTTTCGATGGCTAACTCGAAATAACTTTAAAAATGTCAGAAGTAAGGTTTCCAGAAAATCATGGTTTTTCATACATCCATTTACAGAAATCTTTTGTAAAGAAACACTTGTTTGTAAAAATATTTTAAATTAGCGGTTCTATTCAGAATTGGATGGGCTACATTTTAAAAAAAGTCGGATTCTCCAGCTCATAATCTGAAAAATTTATTTTAACTTTTAAATTTGAAATTTGAAATATTTTTAAAACTGCACTCTCTCCGTTCACAAGCTAGCTGAAACATTTCCAAGGACATGGTTGGATAGAGCTCGAAAAATTGAACATATCTGGCCGGTTGGTGAGGTGCAGATCTTGGACAGAAATGGTTTTCTAGAGGTTTTTCAAAAACCTACATACTAAAATTTATATTTTAGTTCCTTTTTCAGCACTTTAAAAGCATGTGATGGAATTTTAAGATATGGTTATCGATAGAGTTTGAAGAGCTGACCAAACCCAATGGTTTTTGAATGTCTAAAAGTGGCTTTTGAACAGATTTTAAATACTTTTCGAGAAAGCCTCAGCCAATATTGAACTGGAGGACAAAGCACGTGATCGACTGCCACATAAATTGCTATAAACCGATGTCTGCGACTGTGAGCGCGATCTAGACACACGAGGAACATCTACTTAAGAGAGAATAATGCAACAAAATTTGTTTAACAAGTTAACCTAATGCCCATACCATTTTCGCTGCACCAAATTGTCGCTGCATCTTTCGCCAACAATCTTCGCTTTGTCTGAAGTTATTTCGAGTTAGCCATCGAAAAGAGCATCGCTCAAACCTTTTAAGTACTGAGATTTAACAAAATCCTTTCGGCAGATCTTGAGACAGCATTTTCATGTTACACGCCTATTATATTAATTTGAAACAAAGCAAAGAACCACGTCAAGTTAACTAGAAAGTAAAAAAATAGTACGATTCATAATTTTCTGTTGAGAAAAAACAAACACGGAAAATGTTCACAAGAGTCTTGCTCCTTTACACGAATAACTGAATAACTGTTTATTATTTACACGTTAAATATCCTCTAGATATTTCCAATAATTATTTAGATATCCTTCTTTTACATGTGTCAATAAAACATTTTTTCTTTTATCACAATATCGATATTTTTCAAATATTTTTAATTTAATTTCTTTAAATATAGTTTCTTTTGATAAATCTTGTTCCAAGAGCTCACTTAATTCTTCACATGAACGCTCTAAATCCGCTTGATTTTGTTCAAATACAAAGGCTTGATTATTTCTGTCCAAATAAAACGCAAATGGATATGTATACATGAGTACTTGACGACATTTCAGTAAAACCTCAAATGCATCTTTAATAATTCTAAAGTCATTTGTAGATATTTGTCGTTCATTTTTCTCTACTTGTTGTTTTGTACGTTCATATTGTTTTGTTTCTAATTCTAATGAATGTTCATGATTATGATAACGGTCGTTATAGTGTAAGTAACGTGAGAGTGATGCAGCATAGATTGCCTGCATTTCCTCAGATACAGCATTTGGATTAAAACGATTACACTCATTGTGTTTAGACCACATACCTAAAGAAACAGTACAACAATCGCTTCAGATTAGAATTCTAAGATTTATAGGGTCAGCTGGCGCTGTGATAAATGCTATGCTTCTCAGTCCGATCAAAAACTTGTACCATCGAAATTCTAACGTAAAATTTCGCAACTTCTTAGCAGCTGTTATAAACAATTTTAGTATTCAAACGAAATCAATAAAAGTAAAATATACAAAGTAAATACAAACAAAACGTGTCAATACTACTAGTAAAAATACCGATGCGTTAGTACGTTTTGCTCTGAGTGCATTTGGCAGTAGACATTTTTTGTTTAATATATAGAGGTGGTTTTCTTTCATCAATAAACGTCATTCCTTCCTTTACTGTGTTAGCCTTTCGCTAAAAAGATCTTTTTACGATAAAAGATACTTTAAAAAGATATTTTCTCGACTGTCGGCTAAAGAGTATTCAGGCCCCGACCTACCCGGGTCAGAAACCTATTTCAGCCTAGATAGATCTGATCTGAGTCAAACTTTCAGGGAGTGTTGAGCATGTCAAAGTGTGGTAACGAAATTCTTTTTTTGGCATCACTTGCAACTGTTCGTGAGAGGGCACCACGGCAAGGGTCAAAAGTAGGTGTCTACCACGCACAGGAATTCTCACTCCAGGTAAATGATGAAGCGCTCGGGCTGTTTTTGTTTTGCAGTAAACACCTATGGCTAGAAGTTGACAGAGACCGACTTTTGAATTTCTCAGTTACTGATTTCTGGTGCTTAATAGAACTTTAAAATCCGAAAAATCCTTGGAAGGTTTCTTAGAAATCCTCATTTCTATAAAAAACAGAAGTATAATTTAAAAATCGGACTCTGTCAGCTCCTACCTATAAGTGTTATCTACAAATCAAAAAAAATTTCTTTTTCCGATGTATCGTTACCGAGAATTCCTGCGCGTCGCGAAAGCCCTGTAGCTAAAAAACAGTCTTAAGAAAAACGTAAAATAAGTTTTGATTCTGTTCAATGCGTTTTACTTAAAATCTGTTTGAGGATTAAATAATTTATCGATATTTTGCTACAGGTTATCGGTCATGGCAGATCTAATGAACATGTACGCGATCATGTGCGGCACATGCGTGTGCTAATGTAATAAAAGTGCAAAAAAGTCAAATTTTTTTGCGATGGGCTTTCTGAAAAACTCGCTCAAAAGCTATGAAAAATCTATTTATTCTATCGACACAAAAATTATGTCATTAGAAAGTAGACACTTAAATAGTCAATGAACTGACTAACCCAACATACGACTTTCTTAGCTAGCAGATGAGAGCGATTACTTGATTTCAGATATCGCTCGATGAGCTGAGATTTCTAGTAATTATATATTTTTACGAAACTTTCATTTTTCTTCTTTGTTTTCTTAAAATGAACTATTCTGAGACGCTTTCTTGAAAGACGATATTCGTAGGTCTCTTTGGACGTCGTTATGGTGTCCAGTAACTGAACGGTGAACTGCGACGTCCTAATTTTTGTCGCAATAAATTTCTCCTATTATAAAACACTTATTATAAGAATAGGAGCTCTCTAGACCCATTTGAGAAAAAACAACCAAAATTGATCAGCTAAGAAATCTCTTAAGGAAGCGATTTCACTCGATCCAGTAATCCAAAAGCAACATTTTCTCTTGATAAAATTCAGCTGCTTATACATCATTCGATGCTGTTTCGCGTACTGATTTTAAATATGACATTTTCTCTTCCTAGAACATGTGTTTTGATGAACACGGTCGATTTTACATGAAAACGCAGCAGATTTTTTCTTTTTGTAACTTCTGGATCAAGTGAGACGAATTTTCTATAAAAAAACGAAGGTGATTAACTAAATTTATTTCTAATATCGTTCTGAGTGTAACAAGATTTTTATGTCTCGAAAAATACAAAATCAGTGATATGAATAATTTTTCAACCTATTTTTCCACTATGTATTTTATCAATTTTAGAACTCTCTATTTTCAAGCATAGTCTTCAACTGTTCAGTCTCTTAAACTTATTATTTGGAAGTTCATAACGAAACATTTCATCTTGAGGGTTCTTTGCTAATGCACTAGAAGAGAGTGAGGTGTAAAACTACAGTTATACAACTGTTTTCTTGGTTGTTCAACTTTATTCAATTATAACACAATCACGAACTCTCTGCTTCACTAATGAACTGTATGTGAACTGTACACCATTCAAAATATTAAAGGGTACTGAGATGTCAAATTGCGACAAGCTTTTGTCGTCTCCTTTTTTGAGATTTTTAGCATTGTCTGAGGTTCAATAGTTAACTTATCTGCGTGGATAGATAGAGAATTTTGTGCTCTATCGATCTCACTTCTTTACAACTTCATACAAGGTTTCTGCTACGACTTATCATTATCTCTCAACCGGCTTTTCAATTTTTTCAAATTAAATTAATTTTTTTAATTAATGGTTTCAATTGAGAAACTTTGTTTATATATCAAACAGTGGCGGATTTGATTTTGTGTAAGGTAATAAGGCTAAAACCCTGGATTCAGAACCTTTTACCGCTTTTATAGTCAAAAAACGAAAGTCTGTGAAAACTAGGTTCAAAAGTTAGGCTTGTCTGGATTTATCAGTTTTTTGCACAGGAAGACTTAACTGTAAAATTTCAAAAAGTATGTGAGAAGATGCAAAATTTTCCGGTGAATCTTCTGATTTTTTCGAAATTCTTATGAAATCTGGTTTTCGATCAAGGCAAATATTTTTCTATTTCCAGTGTGTCGCAGTTCGACAACTCAGCACTCTTCAATATTTTGAATGGTGCTCAAACGAGAAAAATGTTATCAGTGATTCAAACCAATTCTCTATCGATAATAAACCAAGGGGGTAAAAGCACCACTTCACCACTTCATTTCACTTCACTTCACTGCTGAAACGGCGCCCCTGAGGGGGGAGGGAAGCAAGGGAGGAAAAGTACCATTTTACCACTTCCGCTTAACTTGAAGTGATTTTTTATTGTTTCGACCGTTTCAGCAGCGTTTTACCTAGGTGAAGTGAAGTGAAATGAAGTGGTGAAGTGGTGCTTTTTCCCCCTTGTAATAAACTCTTTGGACTACTGGGTAGTGCCTCAAAAACAGCGAATGAAAGTGTCTAATTTTATCTGAGCCACCCGATAGTAAGGTGTGATGTTCAATAAAACAAGTACAGCCCAGTCAAAACTTCATCTTTTTAGGTTGAACTCAGTTTTCTTTTGAAAACAAATGATTGTCTATGATGATGTCTATATTGTCAGATCATTCTAGTGATCTAATCAAAGAAACTTTTGTCATTTCTTATAAGAAATGACAAAAATTTCTTTGTGATAGCACGCAGAACATGCTCAAATTTTCGTTGTATTCGCTCAATCTCCAAGAAGTCATCTTTTGAGTCAAACAAGGGCGGCTATATGGTTTTGAGTACAGAACGCGATATATGTAGGTTTGTAGAGAAAGACTTCCTCTATCCAGCGGTATATATATTACCGCTTGCATACCGTGAGCGAAAATTAAAGGTAACCTCTCTTTTTTTAGACTCTTTTAGAATTTTTTTTTATTTTTGAGTTAAATGTTGTGCATTATAGAGGCAAGTGTCCTCTACAAAATAAGACCACTTCCAGCTTTTCAAGACCTTCAGTTGAGGAGATACATACTTTTTAAAGTTTGTTACTCTAGACTGGAAAAAAACATATATTTTTACTTTTGAAACTTTTTACTCTTCATTCAGTAGTTGATAAACTTTTGAAATAGTCACTCTTGTAGAGTATAGATTTCTCTACAAAATGAGATGTCTCCCAGCTCTTCACCATGTTTTCTGATAGAGTTATGATCATTTTAGACATTATGTCACAAATGTGGCTTTTTCAAAGGCTTCCAACAAAATAATCATCTCCTCAACGGAAGGTCTTGAAAGCTGGAAGTGGTCTTATTTTGTAGAGGACACTTGCCTCTATAATGCACAACGTTTAACTCAAAAATAAAAAAAATTTCTAAAAGAGTCTAAAAAAAGAGAGGTTACCTTTAATTTTCACCCACGGTACGCAACAGAATTTGATAATATATATACTGCTGGATAGACGAAGTCTTTCTCTACAAACCTACATACATCCCATTACGGAGTCAAAAATTACACTGAAACTTATAGTCGCCTTTTGCTGTATGCGATAAGAATGAGCGCACTTGAAATTACACAAAAATATATTGGAATCTCGTTGTAATACTTGTGTGAAACCATTCGAAGAAAATCAACTCTGTATGAGAGCATACATTATTTTTTTTTCCATTTTGGTAAGGTCTGTGAACCATCTTTCTAGATTCAGTTTGACATAAGGAATCCGAATATCACGTTCAAAAAATCGTAGGGATCAATGGGAGAAATGTACAAGCGATTTTTTGAAAAAATTAGGGTTTTCGACCGTCCCTCAGTATTTCGCATTTCCTCCCTCCTAAAACTCAATAAAATTGAACTAAAAGGAGATATTCGTGATCAGCACAAAATTCTGCGTCGAATGGTGTACTTTTAAGGGAAAAATGAAGAGTGCTGAAATTTTGAATTACCGGCACCTTACGTCACACAATTTCTCTTGTCATTTTTCATTTTCATGGTTTGTAATAAAACAGTCAATACATTTTTGTAGAGAAACAGGAAATCTAACGAAAAGAACTCCAAAACAATCGGACTTAAGAAACAGGCGAAAAATACTAAATATTGAGAGATCGGTTTCTTTTGCTATACCCGTGAGAAAAAACGGTACTCAATGTTCGAGATTAACGGAACAAGCGTTTTTCAACCAGAGAAATGTAAAATTAATTACGTCTAATAAACTAAGTGTGTTATTTCCGTTTTCAATTCTTAACACACAGAAAATGGTACTACTGAATAAATTAATCATGCCTTTCCCTATCGAATGCTTACCTGAGCATAACCAACAAAATTCATAATTGCAATGTTTACATGACATATGATTGCAACCACCATTTTTCTCAATAGTTACACGACATTTTGGACAACATTTTGTATTTGCTTTCATCCATATTATCGTTTCACTATCATCAACCAACTTTTTATTCCATTTTAATACAAATACACATTTAATTGGATCGTGCCATGGATGTGCACATTGAAAACAAAAAGACATATCGCAATTGGAACATATAATAAATTGTGCGTAATTATAAGCAGATGTTAATGATGTAGCATTAATAATACATCCACAATTTTTACCAGGACACCATCGTGCACGTGGATTATTTGCTACATATGAATTAATAATAATACGTTTATATAAATGTTTAACAAAATCATTATCAGCTATAAATTTTGATACGGTCTCATCATCAACTAAAACATCACAATTTGTTTCTGGACACGATATTGTTTGTCCGAGTCCTTCGTTAACAATTTGATTAATTAAATAGTGTTTCCAACAATCTTTACAAAAGACATGTTTACAGTCAAGACTATACATGTCTTTTTGTTCATCTGAACAACATATTGAACATATAATTTCATTTTGTTCAATTTCTGATGGTGGTATAGAAAAGGGATTAACAATTTTTGCTTGAAGAAATAAATCATCATGATTCTCATTATCATAAAAATTTTCCATTAATTTTTGTTTATTCCATTTGAAATAATGTAACAATAATTTAACAATTGGTGATGAAAGTTTAAGTATATCTTTAACTTCTTGGACATAATTCATCATTAATTCAATATATTCATCTTGACTTAAAACAGAATAATGAAAATTAGGAATTGCTACTGTTTCAATTGATGGGGTAAATGGTTCGTCTATATAATGATGACATGTATTTTCTAATGGTGGACTATCATCAATTTGATAAAAATTTTCATCAAGATCATCTGGTGTGGAAGGTTCACATGTATCAAGAATCTCAGTTGTAGTCAATAATTTACTATTTTGGATTTGTGGCAACGGTTCCATCTCATAGTAACAATCGTCATCACCATCATCATTTTCACTCGTACTCATTGTTAAATAAAATGAAATACGTTTTATTTCTGAAGCAATTTCGATGTATTTTAAATAAATCACACCTAAATTTCACGTTTTTCTTTCTTTTCACAGACGAATGATGAAATGCGTACTTATTCAAGAACGAAGAGAAAAAAAAATGTCATTACTGTAAAAGTGTGAAAAAATACATTCACTGTAGCATATGTTTTCTTTTCTTTTTTTGCTACGATCGAAGGCCACATTAATCAGACAACTCATAGAATAACGGTAGTATGATTCACTAGAATTTCTTAATCGAGTGAAATTAGACTTCGATGAACTTCAGTCGTTTATCTTTCTTGTATCACGCTGTTATTTCTGCTTGCAGATCATTTAATTGAACATACTCACTTAATTAACATTCGAATTCGCATGTATCTCGTTTTCACGAAGTGATATCAATCTTTAGTCTATCGTCTATTTCCACATCATATGAAAAACATTTTGTTTCTTCTTGCCTTCTTTCTTTTAACTATGAATTTGCAATATATTGGCTGAAAGTAATGTTTCAGAGAGTGTAGAAATGATTATATTATCGTTTTATATATAGTTACATTTGCTATATTTTTCCTTCTATTATCTTGTGAACTCAATTTGTTTTCTTACATCAAAGCCATGCTGACTAAGAAAGTCAATGTTTTTCCTATAAGCAAGCATGAGACATGTCTGCAACACGAAAAAACAGAAGGAAAAAGTGTATAAAAAGAAATTCATCAGAAAACTTAAAAGAGATCAGGGAAACTCTATAATCCACAAGAAAAATCATTCCATTTTAAATATATTCAATAATATGGAAACTTTTTCAATTAGTTTCATAGACATCTGTAAAGTTTCTAAAAGTAAAATACATTCTTATATTCGATAGAAATGTAGTTTGACCTTCAGATTAGAAGTGAATGACAGATGTCTCGTACTTTAGTTTCGAAAGTTCTCTAAAAACTCTATGGGAAGCCATCAAAAATAACTGAACGCATGGAACGTGGACTTGGACTACATTCCACGCACAGAGAAATTTGTTCTTTTCTGTCGATGTGTCGACATTTGTTTTTGCTTTTTCTCACTTAAATGGCAGAAAGAGAAAAAGCTGATACGCACAGAATGGAATAAATTTTCGTTTTCTATTATCAGTTGCACAATTTAACGCATGTAACAAAAGAATGAAATAAAGAAAAACGAATTTTATCTGTTACTCTAAATGTTCATCTACTCTTCTACCCAAGGAAAATATTACTCATTACGACTTTAATGAGAAATCCATCAACTTAACCAGTTAAATAGGAATTAAATAGAGAGTATCTACTTCTACTTTTTATCTTAACCGGAAGAAGAAATATTCGATATCGTGCCGAGCTATTTTTTAAAAATAGGTACCACCTGGCTTTTGAGATACAGAGTCACCAATGTCACTCCTTAGCTTCATCAAAATATAGAAATTGTTTTTCATTGAGTAGTTAGATCAGTTTTAAGTGAAATTTTCCCGCTATACAGGTTTCTCTTCGGGCCATGGTGGTCGAAGGAGATGTGTGATCAAGTTTTGTTTTCGCTCTAATCGCGATTAACGCTGTCATGTGAACATAGTGTATGACGTGACAACACACCAGAGAAGAGTAAAAACATATCAAAATTTAATGGGTTTTTTTCTAGAGAAGTGGTCTTTGAGATTTTTACATATTCGGAATCAGCGCGATGAGTTATGTTGTACGGCGCCAAAATCTCGTCTGTGTCCCGACACTTTTTGCACTCGGATTCTCCACTGTGGATTTTCACGGTATATTACACTATATTCTTCGAAAAACAGATTTTTCGTAAAACATCGTGCATATTCAGTTCATCTGTAACATATTTCTTCCACTAAAATTTCATTCCAATTACTTAAACTTTGTCGGCTTATATAAATTTCCTAATTTAAAAAATTGAATTGAATTACTGTTTACGTAAAAAAAGAAGCACTGATACCGACGGATAAACCGGTCATCGGTATACCGGCCGGTACCAGTACAAAGTTTGTATAGCGGTATCGCACTTTTAATACCGTTTACACCCATGACCGTAACCAGTGCATGGTGACTCACAAACTCAATTGATCAACACCTTTAGTGTTACAACTGTGAAACTTATTCCATACACTGTAGTGAAAATTAGGAAAAAATCTCCAACCAATCGAAGCACTCAAAAACACAAAGTCTTTTAGTGCGTACGCAGATCTCGCTAGTGAGTCAAATAAAGCTAGAGTAATGTATCACGTTATTATTGTGCAAAAAGACAAAGAACAGAACGAAGGAAAAACAGTGTGTGTATATTGTCCTCATCGTGCGAGAAACATACAGAGTAACGTATTCTCAGCGAGTGAAGAAGAGCCAAAGTAGCATGCTGATTCATTATGTATTAGACATACTTTATTTTTTTGGGTGAATTCATCTGCCGATTAATCGATTCGACTTTTTTTAGTGGTTTTGCCAAATAATTAGCGATGACTAACAACTTTTTTCATATTGTTTATGCCTGTAAATCTTTCATAGTTTAATTTGAACTGTCGTACAGTCGTCTCTGTTCTTTTTTTCTGCTCGAACAAATCAAAATAATAAAACAATAAAAGAAAACAAGTAAGTATAAATTATAGAAAACTGTAGTGTGTAGGAAATGCCAAAAGAATCGTAAAAAAAAGGCAAATGAATTTTCATTAAACCTGGCAATCAATTACGATTTTAACTATAGTCATCGATAAATATTAGCAATTTTTTAATTAACTGATGAATAACTGACCACTGAACTTGCATTAGCTATACAACCTTTTTTGAATAAGTATGACATCAATTTTAAAATTATTTTTCTGTGTCTCAGATGTCTGACTCATTTGTCACGTACGATGTTTTTTCTCTCTTTTTTGTCATTGTGCAATCGTTTCTTTGCTTTTATTTTATCATAAAAGAACAAGAGACTCTAAAGGATGCTGTAGATATGAGTAGAATGAAAACCAACGTAAAGCTTCTTGTGCTTGGCCCAGTGGATTCTGGTCGATCAACAACAATTGCTCGCCTAACTGATAAGTCTAACTGTGACAGCATTGCTCTATTGTCTCATTTGACAAGTCAACGAGAAAACGAGAATACTATCAATGACAATATTCACTTCGAAACACAAAAATATTCCTTCAATGTTATTGATGTCTGTGGTCATTGTCATTTTATGAAAAATTTGATTACCGGTTTAACTAAAATTGATTGTGCTCTGGTCATAATATCGGCAACTGATCTAAATCAACAAATAACATATCAGCAAATACAATTAATTCAGACGATCTTAGGAATTGATCAAATAATTGTTGCTGTGAACAAAATGGATGAAACACAGTATGATAAAAAATATTTTGATGAAATACAACATTTATTTCATGATCTCAATTCTCTCGTATTTATACCAATCAGTAGTTTATATGATGAGAATATATTGCATTCGTCAACAAAGATGAAGTGGTGGTATAAACAGAAATATCTCTGCGAAGCACTCGATTCTATCGTATTACCATCAAGAAGACAAAAACCATTACGTTTACCATTACAAGATGTTTATAAAATTGGCGGTATTGGTACAGTGCCCATTGGTCGAGTAGAATCAGGTATATTAAAACTAAATATGACCGTAAAATTTGTACCATCGAATATCACAGCTGAAATTAAATCATTTGAAAATGGTCAAATGGATTCAGAAGCACATCCTATGGACTATATTGCATTTAGTCTCAAACAAAAGATAGATGTATCGCAACTACATCGTGGTTATATATGTTCAGATGTTAGAAATGATCCAGCACAAGAGACAGTTAGTTTTAACGCATTGATCGTTGTTGTTAATCAATACCCTGATAAAATTGTGGAAAATTTTCAATGCGATTTCAACTGTCATACACTTTCAAATATTCAGTGTCGATTTCTTGAACTTTCAAACACATTCGATCGACGTCTAGGTACACCGATATGGAAGAAACCAAAATATTTGAAATATGGAGACGTAGCTGCTGTAAAAATCATTCCGCTTGAACCGATATGTATAGAAACGTTCAAAGATTATCCGTCGATGGGTAGATTCATTGTACGAAACAATCTCAATCAAACGTTGGCTATTGGTCTCATTTCACATGTTGAAAAGAAACTTGAAACTATCTTGCATGAACAAGCACGACGTCATAGAAATTAGACACTTAATTTTTAAGTAATCTATGTGTTTGTATGCGTATAAGATTAATTTATACTTAAAATAGAGACACGGCATAAGCCAAAACATATGTTATATACGCTATAGTGCGAGTATACAAAAAAGCAAAACCAAGTGGAAGCTGACTAGTATAAAATTAACGTTAACGATAATTGTGTACAAGTAATGTTCATTCTCACCTTTAATGTTCACCGTAATGTTCACCTTTAACGTAGGGCCAGAGCAGATTTAGGCATGCACCGGATAATTGACTAAGGATTTTATATTTTTTCCAAAACCTGGTGTTTCGTAAATTGCTTCGTTAAAAATTTTCTAACTCGGTAAGAATGTCAAGCAAACATTTCACTAAAAAAATGAGAGATGGGACAGTTCTATATGATTTGTCTTGAGATTTTGGCAGTGATTCTTCCATAAGGAACTAATCGAGTACTCGATTATGTGTCCTTGAAGTACCGCAGCCAAAATTTCAAGATAAATCATATAGAGCTGTCCGATCTCTCATTTTTTTAGTGAAATGTTTGCTTGACATTCTTACCGAGTTAGAAAATTTTTAACGAAGCAATTTACGAAACGCCAGGTTTTGGAAAAAATATAAAATCCTTAGTCAATTACTGGGTGCATGCCTATCTCTAGCGCTCTGCCTGCATTTGTAGAGCATATTTCTCAAATATCCATATCAGGCGATATCATCATGCCATAGCAAAGACTCCATAACTGTAACCTTTAGGATACCGTAGTTTTCTGAACCACTTATCAACTAGGTATGCACCAGTTCCAGCTTTTAACTGTGTCTCTATTTTTTCCCTTCTAAATTTTCACTGGTTTTTAAACTTTTTACGTATCTCTAAGTGGAGCCACTCGTTTATAGAGATTGTCGGTGAGTTATATGAATTATAGTAGTAGTTCCGTAGCAGCTTCAAAAAGCGTTCCTATTAACCCTTTGAGTACTATTGCTCGACCATGATAGCTAGGAACTTCTAATTTTGTGTGGTCATAGCGCTTATCGAATGAGTGGATCGCTTTTGAAGTTTGAGATCCTCTTCCAAAAAAATTCATAACTCTGCCTAGGAATATTATTTTCACTTCAAAATTGCACTCTAAAATGTCTTTAGATTATTCACACAAAGTATGAGAGTTAACTATTATATGATTCGAGATATTCATTGAACATGAGCACCCGATATTGAAACATACATAGGAAGGGAAGGATCGTTCATTGTACCATATCTTCTGCGGTTAATGTTCGTCATACTCGTGTAAAAATATACTAATGATAAATTAGGGAGAAATATCTATAGGTAAAATATTGTCAAGAAGACATCGCACTCAACCTAGCCCCGCTTATTTCATTTATTCGTTTGCTTATCTTCATTCGCATATTCGTCTTTTTCACTTCTCATATACTTGCAAGCAAAATTAATAACATACTAAAGATTAGCAGACAAAATTGCATCGTCGCATCTCAATATCCTTTTGCGGTCGCGAGTCACAGTGGGCATTTTCTCATAGGGCAGGCGGCGTTTTTTCCCCTTTAACGTTTTTTGCCTCCCAAAACATTTTTTTATAGGTTTTCGACTATGCTGAGTCTAATGGCAATGTCAGAAATTCAAAACG